TGAAGGGTGTGATTTGCTTCGGGAAGAAGGGGAAGCTTAAACCGCGTTATATTGGGCCATTCGAGATCCTTGCCCGAGTCGGGAACTTGGCTTATCGGCTGGCTTTACCTCCTAGCTTGCCGGGAGTGCATGACGTGTTTCACGTCTCGATGTTGCGGAGATACGTGCATGATCCCGGTCACGTGGTGGACTTCGGCCAACTGTAGGTCGAGCGAGACCTTACTTACGAGGAGGTACCGGTAGCTATTTTGGACCAGAAGGTCCATCAGTTGAGGAACCGGGCAGTGAGCTTGGTGAAGGTTCTTTGGAGCCGACATGACGAGTCAGAGGCGACTTGGGAGAAGTAGGCCGAGCTTCGGAGGCGATATCCGAACTTTGAGTTTTGAGTTCCCCTTGTATTTTATTTGCTTTCTCGATTTTTTATTTTCGAATTCCGAGGACGGAATTCCTTGTAAGGTGGATAGACTGTAATACCTCGTTTCATTTTGGATTATTGGAGAATAACTATTGATTATTACTATTATTAAACTGTCTTTATTATTAATATTATCATTATATTTATTATTATTATAATTGCTATTAACTGTCAAATTGCTATTATTTATTTGTTATTAGTAATGTTGCTACTATTAATATTAATTGTCTAAATATTATTAATTGTCAAATTGTAATTATTTGTCTAAATGCATATTTTTAGTACTAATATTATTATTTTAAAAATATTGTGTGTATTATAAATATAGATATTCCGCATTGATTTATTATTCGTCGTCAAGAGAATTGTTCGATGTTAGTCCTCGGATATGAATTTCGTCTCAATTGGAATTTTATTCCAATACCTATTACTATGTTATTTAAATGGACTCAATGTCTAATATTGTATGTAGCCCAAATTGTTAAGTGGCCCAATGGCAATAAATCTTCTTTGGCCCATAAAATTTCGATCTTGCAGAGAGCCCCTTTTCTGTTCGCTTAGGTAGACCAAGTCTTCTTCAATCTCAGCAAGATCAAAAATTTTGTTCCGATACTTCGGTGAATCCCTTGCACGTTCTCCCCTTTTCACTCGCCGACCTCCTCCTCATCCATTATATCTCGGTCATCTCAAATCTCTTGCTCTGGTATAAGTTGGAATTTTTCCTTTTCGAAACCTGCAGCAGCAAATCATCCCCCACCATAAATTCCGGCGAGAGACCTGCCATCATCGTTGTCCCGAGCAGCGTCCTGCCATCGCTGACGCCCTCCACAGTGGTTGACCCTTGTCGTCGATTCCAGAGCAGAAGCCAATCGTGAGCCTGCGATCCGGCAGACCTCCATTGTTTCTGGCGAAAGCTCCGTTTGCGTGCCTCGACGAGACCTCCTATTCGCCGTCGGCGTCTACACAGCGGAGCAATTCGGGGATTAGCAGACTTCAGTCATCGTGTCCGAAGCTTTCGAGTTTAGAGTCCCTTTCGTCCTTTCGGCCCCGTTTCGCCCCGACCGTTTTTTTTCGATAACTCGTAGATTCCCGAAGGCGGGTAATCTTTTCGAACCTTTCTGTTTTACGGTTCGTATTACCTTGTTGCTGTGATTAATTTCTCGTTGAATCGTTTGTTAGTATTTGGAATTCAGATTAATTATCAGTTTGTTCGTTAAATTTTGGATAATTATGGAATGAATCGTGAATTGGCGTGGACATCCCGGAACTCTCGACTTAGTTAAATCGAGTCTGTTTTTAATTACTGCAATTTAATGGTAGATTCAGAGTCTCGTTAAATCTTTCCGAGTTGTTATCACTCGTGTATGCAAAATTGTTCAGGCCGGTTACGTGTTGCTCGAACCCGGTTCTTATAACCTTTCGAAACTCTGAATGTGTATGAGTTATCAAATTTTACAATGTCTTGAAACTGTTGTTTTGGCAAATTCATTTTTATTTCAGAGTTCCGTTTTTATTGATTGGAGCCGTGTCGTAGTCGTTATATCATTTGATTGTTTTCGAACTGTTAGGTGTCGTTTCCTATTCCGAGCAAACCCCGTTTTCGTAAGGTTTTCGAACTATGGAAGGGTCATTATATTTTGGGTAAAAATTATGTGAAATTTTTTGCTGTTGAAAACCTGCAGCCTGTTCTGTTCAATCTGCTACTTGGCCTCTCATTTTCACAGTTTTTATTTTAGATCAGTAGCAGGTTTGTTCTAAATTTATTTTGTAAAGCCTGTAAGTTAAAGCATTCAGCTCGCGTGGCGCAGCGGTTACGCGTGCTTTCCTTGTACGCGAGGTTGTGGGTTCTATCCCCAGGGCTTGCGAAATGTAGCCTTTTTTTTATATATAAGGCAGCCCAGCGCGCGGGCTTTTTGGCCCGAACTTCGGCCCGCGCGCGCCCGGATTTCCTCTGCAGGCCCGCAAGCCCGCGAGAGGCCCTTCCTTCAGCCCGCGTGTGCCCAGCCCATATGAGCGTTGGCCAAACCTATGGTTAGGCCCAATTTCCTTTAATGCAGCCCAGAAATTTTAATTGGCACCCCAAGTTGACTTTTAAGCCTATTTTGAGTTCTGGAAACTCGTTTTAATACCGATTTCGATTTTTAAAAAATTATTTTCAAAGTAGTAAAAATTTAAGAAAATTATTTTAAAGTACCGAGGCTCCAAATTAATTTTCCGTGTCCTATTTTGCAAAAATGAGTGAGTTCCAAGTCCACGAAAAATCCGATTAAAATCCGTAAATCTTAATTTTTATTAAGTATGAGTTTTATGTTAAATTCGAGTAGTGAGATGGAGTCGAGCCTCATCCTACGTACTTGCTTTTGTGTGCCATTTCCTACCGAAATTTCCAGGTGGGTTGTAATTGTAAAAATTACTATGCTTTAAATGTTATTACTGTTTTAATTGTGGTATGATCAAGGTATGCATGTGAATCATGTAGCCTTCGGTGTAAGCTGTATCGGTTACCGGACGGTTTTTCCCCGTAGCTATAGAACGTACCTTCGGGTAGTCTCCCTTGAGAAGCCGTAAGACCAGGGCTCAGGTCCCTCGGCCGGTGATCCTCATTGGTAAGTCCAAGGCAAGACCTTGACTGGTGGGGTGGTTTACTCCTACTGGCTGGCACTCGATGTAGGACCGGAGGGCATTCGATATATAGTCAGCAGTAGTCTATGCGTAGGTGTGCACATGAGTCTGATTATTGTATTATTGATGAGAGAATGGGATAGTTTATTGTTTCGTATACATGCTGAGACCATACCTTTTGATTATTGATTACTGTTGATTATTGACATTAATAATTATGGCATAGCGGTGAGCACTACTGTTTCCTATTGTGTTCATCCCCACCTGCTCTTCATGGATGCAGGTTAGATAGAGCGGCACGACGGAGGGGATGCTAGTGGTGGTCTTTAATTTGAATAAATGCTTCCGCTTTGAATGGAACTTGGATATTATTGCATTATTATTGACTATTGTTTTTCTAGTATTGGATTATTGATAGGGATTACTTCCCTAGGATCATTATTGGATTATTGATTGGTTATTGGAATTTTTTTATTGATTATGAGTATCAATAATTGTCGAATATGGAGAAAATGTCGAGTATTGATTATTGATTTGAAAATGAGTAACGCCTCAAATATTATTTTTATAATAAATTCAAAAAATTTATTCTAATTTTTGGTAAATAAAAGTGGGGCGTTACATCGGTCTTTCACCACCTCTACGTTCTAACCGACCAAGTAAACAAGATCTAATTAAGTTGCAATGAACCCCAAGATAAATAAACACACAGAAAGTTAGAAACCTTTTCGGCCACATATAAACGACATAATTATTGTGGTGGGCATATAAAAATTATGCAAAATAAATCCGACATTTTATTGCTCCTTAAAAATAAACTATATTAGTAAAATAACAGCCACCCTTTTCGGGCATGTAAAATTGTGACGTGTCACTCCAAAGCACTATACGTGGTAACCACGCTCTTGCAGGCCCTCGTGGGCCTTAAACCCCCAAAACCCACTAAAATAAAGGAAGCTGTGATCTTGATTCTTGATTACAGAAAACAGACAAAAATAATCACTTTTACACAAGCTTATTTTACTGCTCATAAGTGATTTTTCACTGTCGTTGGTCACAATTCTCGAGAAGAAAAGAAGCTCTCGTTCTCATTTTCCTCACTCTCCTGTCCTTTTTTTTTTCTTTGTACCGAATTTCCAGACTTACGATTGACTATTCCTTGAGGAAACAATTCCCGATCTCTTAGAAATTGTCTCTAGTTAAAACGCGGTAACCACACAATGGCTTCCAAGTTCCTAACACCCCCAACTACCACGCACAAGGAGTCGATTCCCAAGCGATTGCTCTGACCCTCCCACCTCCAAATTAGCCCCACCTCTCCAACCGCAGGGTCCTACTGAAGTGGTTGCTTTATGCTGGTCCCCTCAACTTCATGTTGGCCCCACCTATTCAAACGTTGGTTCCCACCGAATTTCAGCCTCCCACATTACCGCTTATAGCCCTCAGTATTAATTGTTCCACCGTCTACGCTGGGGTGCTTGAACCCATGACCTCTGGCTATGGGTATCGAATGCTTAACCAGAGGTCATTGGCACTCTCCTGTCCATTCTTGAGAGAGAGAGAGAGAGAACATTCATTTTCTCCTTTATTCATTTCTCTCAGTATTTTCAATGATTCAGCCCCACCTTGTTATGGGCGGCTATGGCAATTTGAGATTTCTTTGTTGTTCGTATATAAAAATCTTGTCTTTTCCCCTTTTAAGTTTTCTGCAAAAAAACCCATAATTCTCAAAGCCTCCGTCTTTATCAATCGCCTTCTCGTTTTCCTTTATTTTCTGGCCTCTCAATTTTTCCCCTTTTTTCTTGAAGTGTCTGCTAAAACTGGTGATACTCAGACTCTCCCCTGCTTTCTCTAATTCATTATTCATCGTCTGGTCAGAATCTGTGCATAACATATCATAGGCTGAGTTGAACTTATTTTAGCAGCTCACAAATACAACTGTTAACAAAAAAACAAAAACAAAATGAAGGTTAGATCCCTATTTTTCTGGATTTATCTTTCGTACTTAGTCTGATTTCAAATGTTGGATTTATTTGTTAAAAAATTTATCTTTTCATGAAATGTTAGCTTTTTTCTGGAATTTTAAGAACGTTCTGCCTTTTCTATGTTCTTGTAAGAAAAAAAGGTTGTTGCTTTATGAGCTACAGCAGATATGCTATGAATTGATGTAATTCAGGTCAACCCTTTTGCCTATTTTGTCTCTGGGCTAGTTTGTTTTTTCATCTTATTACATGGGATTTCCAGTTCACTTCTCAGTGTTCTGTTTATGTGCAGAAGATTGTGCTGAATTTGGATTTGCAAGATGATATAGACAAGAGGAGGGCTATGAAAACAGTCTCTACTCTTTCAGGTTTCAGCCTTTAATTAAAGTGTTTCATTACATTTACCAGATGAGGAGAAAAAAGAAGAAGAAATTAAAAACATCATTCAATGTTTGGTACATTAGTAGTTAGAGGTGGTTGCTTATGTCTTTCTATGTATGGGGCTGATAACATATTGCCTAATTGCGTTCCTGAATTGAAATATCTGCTGAATACATACCTCGATAATTATTGGACTCCGGTTCGTTAATCGCGGTGTAGATTTATATGCGCGTTTGATGGCAAATGATAATCTTTCTCCGTAAAATTGTCTTGTGCTCTTGATATGCATTTGGAACATTCATTGGTATTGATTCGTTGCTTTTTTATTGTAACTACTAAAACGACTATTATAGGAATTGATGAGATCACCATTGATGCCAAAGCGAAGAAACTAACGGTGATCGGGACAGTCGACCCCGTGACGATAGTAAGCAAGCTGCGGAAGAAGAATTGGTGGGCGGATATCATCTCTGTGGGCCCGGCCAAAGAGCCAGAGAAGAAAGATGAGCCCAAGAAGGAGAATGGCGCAAAGGAAGAACCGAAGAAAGACGAGCCCAAGAAGGAAGACGAGAAGAAAGAGGAGCCCAAGAAAGATAACGAGAAAAAAAAAGAACCCGAATTTGTCGTGGGGACAGTAATGCCGTTCAGGCAGTACTATCCGCCGATGAACACGTATTACTATGTGAACCACAGCATGGAAGAAAATCCAAATGCATGTGTCATTTGCTAAATGATGTACAATAAAAATTGATTTTGGTCCCTTTTGTGCAATCCAACCCAAGGCTTAAGGCAAACTCATACTAGACAGAGCAAGTTGGGTATCATACATTCATTATAGACACTGTAATAGTTGCTCAATGTGTATTGTTTCGTGTGTATGTGTATTTAAGTAAATAAATGTATTTTAGGTCATCATATTTTGGTATGTAATAAAATGTATAAACATTGATTTGATCACATTGTTTTGCTGGAAAGTTGCAGACAGAAAGTTTTGAAGTGGTAACAATATGTAAGTGATGACTGGTTTCATGGCTGGATTTGTGAGTGCTTGTAAGACATCCATTAAGTTAAAATTCACTTGGACGTAGAATAGTTTTTTAACAATCGGTTTTGCTATGAAGCCAACAGTTAGCTCCATAATGGAGCCAACCTTCTATGTACAGTAAATAAATCAGAGAAGGTTAGTTCTACTTTGGAGTTGAGTCAACTGTTAGTTTCATAGCAAAACCGTTTTAACAATACGCTGCTATTAGTAAAGTACAGACTAGAAAAGTTGTATCAACTAAATTAGGTTAAGTTTGGTAAACCTAACTGATAAGTTTATAAGTGAATGTCAAACTTATAGCTGATTGTTTATGGCTTATGAAAAGCTAGCTGATATGATAAAAATGTTTGGTACAATTAGTTCATAAGAAGCCGATTCAACGAGCTTATTTGAAAATGTATTCAAGAAAGCTTATGACATAACCTCGAGTTTTTTTAAAAGTCTATCGTCCTACCAAACTAAACTTATTTTAATATATAAAACATAAAAGTTTATGACATAATCTTGATTTTTTTTAAAAAAACTATATTCTTACCAAACCAAACTTATTTTAACATATAAAACTTATAAGTTAACCAAATAAGATATTATCTAGCCTATGTTCTTATCGAACACATTTTTAATAGCTAATTAAGCCAACTCTAAAAGGTCTACTAAGAGGTCTAGACCAATAATACAAAATAAATACAAAGTAAACATAACTAACAAACTCCCGGGAGACTAAAACACATAATATTGGAGACCAAATAAACATAAATAAAAAACACACTAGAAAAAAAATAAAAATAAAAATAAAAACTCAACTTTGACCTTAATTAGAAGGTCAAATGATCGATGGATATCTGCATTCTAAGGAGACGACAGTCTCAACCGACTGTCGAAAAAGGACGTCGGTGCAGACCCTACATGTGGGATTGTGCTAATATATTTAGAACATCTTCAATGGTCTTCTATTGTTTTATTTGTTGCCACCGGACACAAAATATCTTATGCGGCATGTAAAATGTCTAGGAGTCTATTATATATTATATTATTTATTCAACTTATAATTTTTTCTTCAATTAATTACAATTTTACACATCAAAAGTGATACCATAATTAGCACGAACCATGAAGATACAATTTTTAATTTCCTTTCTCTATTTTATACAATACAATTTCTATTGGAGATAGCTCTAAATATAGCCCCTCTTTTTTTTGGTACAATAAAGGAGGCCGAGGCCTAAAGATCGCTAAGATAACACACGACGTGGGCGTGCTACCCCTACAATGTCATAATTCAACCAATGACCAAGCTCCGGAGGTGAGGAGGCAAGTCTGTGGAAACCAACTGGGACACCCGCAGCCATTGAAGCTAATTTGTCCACCGAGAAATTCCCTTCCCGATAGATATGAGCCACGCGCACATTCCACTCCCGTTTAAGTAAATCGCGAATAGATTGGATGATAGTCCCATGAAGACCAAGGTTCTCATTATCCCCAAGAACCATATCTACTACACTGCTATTATCCACCTCAACCAAAACATTCTTCTCTCCCAACTCCCAGGCCAAGCGAAGACCATGAAAAAGACCCCATAACTCCGCCCCGGTTATAGAACATAACCCCACATTCATTAAAAATCCACCCAGCCATCGACCATGGGAGTCCCGGGCTAGTCCCCCCGCACTACCTCGTCCCGAAGCCGTGCACAACGCGCCATCCGTATTAATTTTGATCCACCCATCAGGGGGGGAGGGGGTGACCAATGAATCATCACCTCCCCATAACAACCATCACGAATCCCCAAGGCTGCGGTACACTCCATGCTATATAAATGTTGCTCCACCCTATCGTTAATGTCAGCAACCTGCACCTCAAGGGGAGTAAACTTGTTCGAAAAAATTGCCAAATTCCGCCATGCCCATAGCCCCTCTTTTAATAGCAAGGAACTCTCATTTCAACACCGAATTAATACGATTCCCATTTCCACCAAAAAAATATACCCTTGGTTGCCATGCAAAGTAGCCTATTTTGTGGTCCAAAACCAATTGACACCAATCCAATTTTCAACCTCTTCGCCTGGCCTTGAATGAACGATTCATGGATGCTTAAAGGACTTTCCCATGTCAAACTCCGTGTTAGAATATCACTTGTGAGTTGTCTCACATTGTTAATACATGGAAAATAGACCCACTTAATAAGTTTAATGGGCTACTCCTCCTTTCACCAATTGGTTTTGGGATGGAACCCCATTGGGCTTCATTTGGGTTTTCCCCACTTTGGTGTGCTTCATGTTAGTGGGCCCGCACTGTTTTTCCCCCAGTTTCTCACACTCCGAATGCTTAGTCTCCTTTCCTTTCTCTTCGTTCCAACATTGAATACTTAGGTTTGGGAACAAAAATTGCAAATTTTAAAACATTTTTTACTTCGTGAGCAGGATGGGAGAATGCCACAAAGGAAAAATGTGTATCAATCGCTCGCCGCGACCGGCCGTACAACATCTCCACCCCTGTCAAAATTAGATTGGTTAAGTATTGCCTCGACGCCGCCACCGGCCGTACACTATCGGTGCCGCATTCTCCTCGGTGTCGAGTTTCAGAAATTGCCTTGGGATTGATATTTTTGAAACTAAATTGGTTTGAGGGACCTAATTGCAATATTATGAATTTTAAAATATATTATAATTTAGTCCATGGCTTAAATCTGTAATTTAATAAACCTTTAACCATTGCACTTTAACATGCATCGCATTGCACCTTAACGCGTTCGAAATTGCACATTAAAAATAACTCTAAACAGACTACACCATATGGTTATACAAACTGCATTTTGGTGCATGTGATATTGTACGTTATCGCAGCAATGCATTCTGCGTAAATGACTAAAATACCCCTGCGTGAAAATAAAAACTTCACTCATTTACTGAAATGCCACCGCGTGTTTGACTAAAGTTGGACCCTCTTTGACCGCATCTAGATCGTTGATATATCGCATCTAAGGGCTATGATTCATTCTTATTTCTTTCAATATGACCCTTTCTCATATGATCCCTTATATATATATATATATATATATATATATATACACACACACAATACAAGAAAATGATGAAAAATTTCAACGGAAATATATTCCAATAGAATTTCAATGACAATTTTGTTTTTAGTATTTTTGGGCATGTGGTAACCGAGTTACTCGACTCGGGTCGTTCTCAAAGGAAAGTTGTTCGAAACTTCATCCACTACCTAGTCGTCAAAGTCACATAACCGAAAACAAGGTCCTACACATTCTACTCGCCTGAAGAGATTGATTGCACGAAATTACGCTAAGAATCTAAAAGCAAATGATGGGAGATGCAAGATTTAAAAGAAAGATCGATACTTTGGTTCCACGGAGTATCCATAACTCAAGAAAAATAAAAACAAACAAAGAGAAAACATGCTAGCATAGCGATCCTAGGTAACCGAACACGAGCTTTCTACACTAAATCATCACGCTTCAAACAAAGTCGAGACCTTTACAAGATAAGCACGTATTGATTCTTAACACACTTCAACAAGCAATGAAAATAAAGCAAAAACCTAGAATCAAGCATCAACACAAAATCTAAGAACAAACTCAAAGTAGTAAGTCCTAAGTAAGGTACTTGCTCTCCTACGCGTGTCCGGACGAAAATAATGAATAAAGCTCGGAACTTGAATAAAAATAAGCTTGCCAGAATTTTACCGGAATCTCCAACCAAAACATAAAAAATAAAAGAGAGAAAATGGAGAGGATTTCCTAACTTGAAAGTTGGGAAATGAGGGAAGATAATGAAAAATACAAAGTACAATATCTATTTATAACTATACCACAAACACACACTAGAAACACACACATTTAATGATTCTGAAGTTCGCCGGTCTCGAAACATGGTTCGCCAGCGAGTTTGGGGTAGGAGTAGTGCTGGAATGGGCGTTCGCGGGTCGCCAATAGATGTTCGCCTGCGAGTGTATTATTGTGGTGCTGTGGATCGCGCTTTTGCCGGTCGCGAAGTGGTGTTCGCCTGCGAGTGTGGTGCTGTGGTGTTGCGCCTTTGCCGGTCGCGAAGTGGTGTTCGCCTGCGAGTGCTAAGGGAGCTTGGTGCACAGAGCTATGTTCGCGGGTCGCGAAAGCGATTTCACAGAGAGTGTCAAGGCTCTCTCGGGCGCGAAAGAAATTTCGCCGCGAGTCTTGCGTCTCTATTGGCTCTCTTGGGTGCTCGGATAGCTCGATATAATGGCTCGGATGGCTCGATTGGTTTGAATCATGGTTCGGATTCCCTAGCTTGCAATATCGACCTACATAACACACCAAAAGAGACAAGAGAATACACCAAAATACAAAAACACATGAAAATAATAAAAAATGCATAAAATACGATAAAATGGACCGGTCGATACTAAAACGCACCTAAAATGACTAAATCAAAATACATAAAACACACGAAAATAAGCACAAAAACACTACAAATAAATTCAAATGGATATTATTTCCGTTGGAATTATTCAACGGAAATTCTAACAAAAATATTCCGTTGGAATGAATTTTCCATTGGAATTTTCGTGGGATTTTGACGATTCTAACGGTAGATTTTTCAACGGTGGTGGAAATAAAATTTTCAACGGAAATTGCATATTCCAACGGAAATTTCTACATAGAAAAGTCGTTGGAATCATCAAATT